ATGGAAATGTTTTAATTTTGGCTGTGGTGATAATTTCATGACTATATGTATTTCTCAAATATGTACCTAAGAAGGGTAATTCTACTCTATGTAAATTATCTCTCAATAAACCTGATGCCCAAAAAATGAATTATTAAAGTAAATGTAGTGAAAAGCCAAAGATTACAATTGTCAGACTAAATGTTTTACAGAGGTCTGGAGAGAAGGCCAACAGTTAGGAGTAAACTGCTCTTGTAAGGGACACAAGTTCGGTTCCTAGCACCCACATCAGGCTGACAACCACCTGTGCCTCAAGCTCAGGGGATCTGAAGCCCTCTTTGGCATCCTCAGGCACATACCCAAACACAAATATACATACACATGACTAAAAATAAAATATTTAATTGAGAAAATAAAATTAACTGGACATAGTATAGTTACAATCCCAACATTTGGGAGGCTGAGGCAAAAGGATCTTGAGTTCAAGGCCAGGCTAGGGTACATATCAAGATCCCACTTTGCCCATTCCCATTTCAGACCCAAGCATGTTTGTCTTGAAGTGTCCTCCAAGGCTTCTGGTCTGGGAGTGGGCTGGTCTCCCCAACTCTATGACAGGAATGAAAAACATTGTGTGTCCTTGAAAACTAGAAAACAAAACATTTCTAACAGAGATTCCTATTATTTATCCTATGATATAAAAAGTCCTGCAGTGAGAAGAGGAAGCTGGAAGTTGTCATGGAGTGGAAAGCTCAACAGGGAATTGCAGCCCACTGCCTCGGCTTCCCCAGTAGTGCATACTGGATGACTGTCTGGTCTGATGTTATCTTTCTGCTCCTATTTGTTCTTTTACTCGGAAGCTTCACCCGTGGAGACACTGCTGTGCTCAAGACTCTCAATGGATCGGGACCTCCAGCTGGATGCTCCTATGCGTCCCCAGCTGATGATTCCTGCTTTGTTTCTAAGTCCCTGATGTTGCCTTTAGTGTGCTCTCGAAGTTGGGTTATTCCAGTTGTCTCTGCAGGGTGTTTTGAACACTGGCTTTGGTCTGCTGTCTATCTGCTGCTCTTCTCTACATGCTATTCACTATTTATGCTTTTACTTTTGCTTGTCATACACTTAATAGTAAATTCGCTCATTCAAAAACTGAAAATGTCTGTCATAGCTCATTCTCCATACTGTCCAGAACAGATAACAAAGTGATTAGAGAAACATGATAAACATATATAAAAAATGGTATCTCACTGAGGTTTTGTTTAATAAGTCAATAAAGATCTAGGTCAGCCTGAGCTAGAGAGAGATGTGCCTCAAAACTCTCTCCTCAAAATCCCCAAGTGAAGCTGGGCAGTGGCGATGCACACCTTTTAATCCCAGCATTCAGGAGGCAGAAGCAGGTAGATCTCTGAGTTCAATGCCAGCTTGGTCTACAGAGCAAGTTCCAGGGCAGCTAGGGCTACATAGAGACCCGTCTCAAAAATACAAACAAACAAACAAAAAATCAAAAACCCCCAAGTGACACACTACTAATGTATAAGGGCTTACACTACATGAATTTACTGTGGGTTTTGGTAAACATACTGAGGTTCACTTTCTATGCCATTCTCCATAGAGGAAGAAGGGTAAATGCTGTCTTATGCCATCCAAGAACAGATAAACTGGGTTTCAGAAAACTAAAACTTTTTTTCCTTAAATTTTACCATCAAGTTAGGAAACCCAGAGACATAACAAAGCTGAACAAACAAACAGAACAGAATAAGGTGCTGGCAAGACAGCTCAGCCATTTATAGAGTACTTATTGTTCTTGTGGACAACCTGAGCTGGATTCCCAGCACCCACATAAGGCAGATCACAACCACCTGTAACTCCAGCTCCAGGGAGATCCAGCACCTCTGGCCTCCAAGGGCACCTGCAGTCACATGCACAAACCCACAAACACATACATTTAAAATAAAAATAAACTTTAAAACACCACAGAATGAGAAAAACATTGTACATCACATGCTATCAAACCATCACATGTCACCTTATGACAGTAGAGACCAAACTTACATCTATAATCTGTAAAGAGCTCCTATGACTCAAATAAAACCCCAACTGAAACTGGACAAAGGATCTGAATAGATGTTTCTTTTATATATAGATGAAAAAGTACACAAAGACATGTTCAACATCTTTCATCATTTGGGAAGTACGTAGTACATGGTAAGATATACCTATTGAGATGGCTAACATAATAAATAAGTGTTACAGAGTGTGGAAAATATAGAACCCTCTCATACATCATAGATGAGATGATAAAATGGTATAAAGTGTCTTTGAAAGGTTTGGTGGTACCTCAAAATGTTAGAGTAATCAGCATTTCACTCCTAGGTATACACACAAGAGAACTGAAAACTGTTCACACAAACTTGCACACAAATGTTCACACTGGCATTATCTAAGATGTAAAGGTATAAATATCCAAATGCCTTTTATCAGCTGATAAAATGGATATGTACTATATCTACACAATGGAGTGTTTTTCAGCTATAAATTAGAATGAAGTACTAATACAGGAATCATGATAAATCTTGAAAATGTTAGAGAAATTAGATCCCACAGGCAACATATGTGATCTATTTTGTCCTAGTTAGCTTTAAAAAAAGTTTATTTATGTGTGTGTGCGCGCCTGCTATGAGGTCCTTGGATGGAGTTACAGATGTCTGAGAATCTGAACCCCCTCCTGATCTGAGCAAGTGCTCTTAACTACTGAACCATCTCTCTAGCCCTATTTTTGTCCTAGATAGCTTTGCTAACCCGACATAGCCTAGAATCATCTGAAGTTTCAGTTGAGCAATTGTCCAGAAATGTCCTTTGGACATTTCTGTGAGGGATTGCCTTAATAATTAAGTAGGAGGGCCTAGCCCCCTGTGGGCAGCACTTTTCCTAGGGCAGGTGGTTGAGCCATACAAGAACGTGAGCTGGGGCTGAAGAATGGTTTAGTACAGCAGTTCTCGACCTTCCTATGCTGCAACCCTTCAGTAGTTCATGTTGTGGGGACCCCAACCACAAAATTATTTCATTGCTACTTCATCCAAATCATAATGTAAATATCCAACGTCTATGTCATCCCAAAGGGGGCGTGATCCACAGGTTGAGAACCACTGGTTTAGTGGTTAAGAGCACATGCTGTTCCTTCAGAGGACCCAAGATCAATTTCCAGCACCCACACCAGGTGACTCACAACTACCCTTAAGCCCACCTCCGAGGAATCCAATATCCCCTTCTGACCTCTAAGGGCACATGTACTAATATCTACAAGCTCACACACATAAATAATTTGTGTTTAATGTTTAAGATAGGTACACATGGGTCTGCAAGAGAGCCAGCAAAAAGTATTTCCCTATGGTTTCTGCCTTTGAGTCCTGCCCTGTTTCCCTCATTGATGGACTGTGACCCAGAAGCGTCATCCAAACCAACCCATGGTATTTGTCAGAGCAACAGCATGAACCTGGAGTGTATTTACATGGATTGTGCAGGATAGTTAATCTGTAAAGACAGAAAGCAAATGTACATCCATCAGGGCTACGGGGTGACGGGGTGGAGAGTGAGTCTTTCCAGTGGCAGTTTCTGTCAGGATGAAAATCTTACATGGTTACATAACTACAAACGAGCTTTATCTCCCCACTTTCCTACGTGAACATGTGTGTGCATACATGTGTGCACAGGTGTGTGTGCATTTATGCACATATACACAGAGCCTAAGGTTGGTGCCAGTAATCATCCTTCATCATTTTTCCACCATACTCATTGAACAAGGTATCTCAGTCGGACAGAGCTGGCAGCTTACTCTGGGGATTCCACCTTCTGAGGCTGGAATCCCAGGTGGGCATTTGCAAGGGTTCTAGGAATCATACCTCTGGTTCTCATACTTGGATGGCAGATGCTTTTACCACCGACCTATCCCCCAATCCTTGTTTAATAAAAATTTTACACGTATTTCATCATGGGAGAGAGGAGGGGGAGGAGAGCATGCACACAGGAGTAGTCAGTTTTCTCCACCATGTGGGTTCTGGGGAAGCCTGGCAGCAAGCATCTTTACCTGCTGAGTTATTTCACTGTCCCAGGAGTACGGTTTTAAAATCTCTGAATTATAACAGGTAGAACCTGTAAGATGTGACTACATGTCAATAAAGTTGTCACTACACAGTGTAAAACCCTGCGGCCGTTGGTTTTGCTTACCCAAGGCACTCTCTTCAGCGGGGCACTCAGGTTCCTTCAGGCCTTATCTTGGCTAAATTTCCAACTCTCATCTATTCTCTCTTAATACTTACTGTCAATCCTATTCAGCACCACCTGCAAATGCTTTGCCTTTGCATATATTCTGTTAAGAACATCATACTTCCCACTTCTGTCTGGTGTATCATCCCTGTGGATTTGTCAACAATAAATGCTATTTTCCCCAAGACATCCCTTCTACCTTCAGCTCTTGTGTGAATACTGAAAACATCTGGCCCTCATGACGGATTGTGAACTCCCTGGCTTGCTAGACAGTACCAGCTTCAGCTCCAGCAGCAAGTGCTTGTAAGCACTCAGTAAATGTTTATTGAGTAAATGAATGACAAACACACCCTCACTACTGACCAGAAACAGTGCTATTTTTTCTCCAACTAGTTTAATTGGTAAAATCCATACAAATGTAACTTGAGTTCTGGCCTTTAGAGACCAATAAAATGAAATAAAAATACAAATTTGGGGCCAACGTTGAGACTCAGGGAGATTAGCATAAAGTAACATTTCATGGGACCTGCAGTTCGGATACTTATCATTGTTGACTGGACATACTTACTGGAGTCAATACGCTTTTATACCACATATTAAATGTGTTGTTTAACTCTGGTAACCACAGCTGTGACTTAGTTAACGATCTCAATAAATCCTACTTAAATCAGAGACAGGAAAAAATTATGCAAATGAATTCTTATCTGTTTTTCTGCCCAAGGCATATTTGATAACAGATAAAACACACTCCAAATAGTCTCTACTTAACAGTCAGAAAGCCATTCGAGGTTTATTTGGATCAAAATCAGATACAAAAAGAAGCCTGGTATATTCACAAATGGTTTTAGTTCAGAAAGTAACTGTACATCAAAATGACTCACAGGAAGAGCTGCCATTCCCCCATGGAAGTGAACACAGAAAATCAACAGTTACTAACATGCCAAGCCACATGATTAAAAAAGAGTAAGAGAAAAATGACAGAAGGGTTGGTTGCCTTGGATTCAGCCACAAAATAAAATTTTTTTGTTGAAAAAGCGAATGGGTCTTGGTCTTGAAGATGGCTATTTAGAAATGAGCTTCCAAAGGGCTTGAAAATCCAACCAATCACACGGGTCTTCTTGTGCACAGCATGACATCCACATTCATCCAGGCAGGATGGAAACCATCCATCAGTTACATCTTGCAGCTAGACAGAATATCTTCCACCAATCTCTTGTAAACCCAGGCGTCACCCTTAAGCCGCTGTCTCCGGATGCCCACCACGTCAGGTCTCTGGAGCTGGCACACTTCTAGTTCAAACTGCATTGTCACTTTGCCAAAATCAGACTGTGTTTGACACTTCAGTGTGTAACTGAAAAACATTAAGATACCAGGTAGTTAGGGAGCCAGAAGTATTCTGGATAATGCGAGAGGTCTCTAGCTTCTAAGAGCTGGTGGGAAATGAGCCCTTAATTCCCTCTAAGCAATAAATTCTCCATGCAGTTTCCAGCTGGCCTAGCCATGCTGAGTGATGGAGTGACTGGTGCTTCCCCAGAAGCTGAGCGATGATCCGAAGAAAAGGTGAGAAAGCTTGACCAGAATGCTCCCTCAAACCACAGGAGAGCCCTTCTGAAGTAGCTGTACATGCCACGTGTACTTGGGAAACCTGACATTTTTTATGTGGCCTTTTCAACAGTGTAATACAAGAATGTGAGGTCATTTCCACAGTGTTCCCAACAAAGGAAAACAAGGGAGATTTAGAACATTCTTACCTCTGAAACTTATGACTTTCATTTAAATAAAGCTGAAGCAATTAACCTTCTAGAAAGAAATCTGCCTTGAGATTTTTCCTATACAAGTTTAGAAGTTATGATTGCTACACTTAAACAGTAAAAACAAGAGCAAAAGAAAGACCAGGGAGCTGGGCGGTGGTGGCGCACGCCTTTAATCCCAGCACTCGGGAGGCAGAGGCATGAGGATCTCTGTGAGTTCGAGGCCAGCCTGGGCTACCAAGTGAGTTCCAGGAAAAGGCGCAAAGCTACACAGAGAAACCCTGTCTTGAAAAACCAGAAAAAAAAAAAAAGAAAGAAAGAAAGAAAAGAAAAGAAAGAAAGACCAGGGAAGTGCATCCCCACACTGAAGGCATCTGGCATATGTAGTCAAAGCGGCAACACAAAATCGGGCTTAGACTATGAAAGTGGCATGGACTGAACTCATGTAAAGAAAATTAATTACTTTACATTTTAAATATTAGAGTTGTCTTACTGATCTTCAAAATAAAAACACAAAAATATTTGGGTTTCTTTTAAATTTAAGCTCTCTAGATATTTAAGCATAATTAGGCCCTGTTGTTCAGACAATTTTGGGGGGTTTTGAGACAGGGTCTTGCAACCATGAGCTCCTAGAACTTGGGAGATAGAGGCAGTAGGAGTTCAAGGTTATCCCCTGCTACACAGCGAGTTTGAGGTCAGCTGGCGCTGCATGAGAATGTCTCAAAAATAAACACGCACCAAACAACAAAGACAGCATCTTCCCATACAGCCCGGACTAGTCTGGAGCTTACTATAAAGTTTAGGCTGGCCTCCAACTCAGTCATGCACATGCCACCACGCACAACTGCAAATTCTCTATGATTTATTATGAAGTTTCACAGGACATCATTCTTTGTCTTGTTTAGTACAGTGAGTTTGAGGGAAAGTATAGAGTATCTTAGGAATAAGCAGCAATATCAGAAATGTCAAAAGGAACATCCTAGGGAGCAGCGTCTACACAGGAAGGTGAAGAACAGTTTAGTTCTGTAGAACTAGAAGAAAGAATATGACCCATCACACCACTGAAAAGCTGAATGCTGTCCCTTTTTTTCGTCACAAGGTAAAGCAAACAGAAAGTAACAAACAGAGAGGGTCACTCAAGACCACTCTGGTTGCTCAGGATGTCAGAAGGTCAAAGCACTAGCTAGATTTCAGCTAGTGATCTGCCGCTGAATCACATGCCAAAGGGAAGATCAGCACAGGCCTGTGAGATTCAGATAGAGCTTCTGGGGCCAGAGAAACACCAGCATGAATAAGAAGCACTAAGAATGGGCGAGACAAATGTTCTAATGAGGCTGAAAGAAAACAATGCAGGAGTTCACGTAGGTAACACACCTACAGAGTATGAGTGATGATACAATCACAAAAAATTGTCTTTAAAGTATTACTCTAGAATAGTCATGGTGGTACAAGCCTGTCATGGTGGTACAAGCCTGTAATCCCAGTGCTTCACAGGTGGTGGTAGGAAAATAACAAGTTCAAAGCCACCCTGGACTAGTCAATTACAATCCAGGTCAGCCAGAGATAATCTAGAGCTTGGGTGCAAAGGCAGGAGGATACAAAGTTGAGGCCAGTCTGGACTACACAGTATGAGGTCCTGTCTCAAAAGAGTAAATAAGGAAACAACAACAACAAAAAAAAATCAAACTCTATATAGATTATCCTGTCTGCATGCTTTTGGTAAATTTAATAAACAGTTGTACACAGCTGTTTAATAAAGGCATTTTAGAAGCTGATGTGATGGATGCATGTAATCCAGTGCTTGGGAGACCGAGGCAACCCAGATCAGGAGATCCATGCCAGCCTGGGATACATAGAAGGCTCTTTTTCAAATAAATGAACAGAGTTGAAGACATGGCTCAATGGTTAGGTGCACTGACTACTCTTTCAGAGGATCCAGGTTCAATCCCCAGGACCCACAAGGCAGTTTACAATAATCTATAACTCTAGTTCCAGGGGATCTGATGCCCTCTTCTAACCTCTGCAAGGACCAGGCATGCATGGGATTCACATAAATACACACAGGCAAAACATCAATACACATAAAAACTAAAATTAAAATAAATAAGTCATTTTAAAGATGTAGTTAGTAGCCAGGTAGTGGTGGCATACACCTTTAATCCTAGCACTCAGGAGGCAGAGCCAGGTGAATCTCTGTGAGTTCAAGGCCAGCCTGATTTACAGTGCAAGATCCAGGACAGCCAAGGCTACACAGAGAAATCCTGTCTCAGGGGGGAAAAAATTAGTTAGTGAAATTCTTAGAAATAGGAACAGTTTGCATGCTCAGAAGAGACCTGGCTACTCAGACCATGAGATCACACCATGGAGCCTCTGACAGCTCACTCAGCAGGGATACTCAGCTGAATTTCCTTCCTTAACCCACCGAAAACTAACTCTATAGGGTAGCTGGTAACAGAGACTCAATCTACAAGCTTCCACTTGTCCAAAGATTGTCACTGACTAAGATTACAACTGACAAATAGCACAAGAAAGCAGAAAATGAAAGGACCTAGAGGATTGTCCTAAAATAAACGGAAGTCCAGATTTCCCAATTCTGAGATGAAAATGTAAAGACAACCAACTCTGAACAATGGCACCATAGCATCTTTCTGGAGAGTGGGGGAGAACGCTTCAGTAGGGACCAGGAGGGATGGCAGCAGAGTGAAGAACGTGGCGGTCAGGGATGGCTTACCCTTTCTGCACAAAGTCCACGTGCTTCTCTGGAAGAACCCTCATTATCTCACTCAGGAGCTGGTCAGGATTCACCAGTCTAGTTGTAGTCACGTTATAGTGCAGCTGAGAAAGAAACAGGAGAGGAGTCAGACTTCACCTTGAGACAAAAGCTCAAAACTCCTTTTCACATGGGAACACTGCAAGAAAACACTGCAAGACCGGCCAGCTGAGCCAGCTGCTTTACCACAGCAGTCGGGTAGAGACTGTTGGGGAGACTGTCTCCATCAGAAACTACTGTATTATCCCCATTTAAAAAAAAAAAGTGCTGGGCATGGTGGCGCACGCCTTTAATCCAAGCACTCAGGGGCAGAGGCAGGCGGATCTCTGTGAGTTCGAGGCCAGCCTGGTCTACAGAGAGAATTCCAGGACAGCCAGGGCTATACAGAGAAACCCTGTCTGGGGGAGGGGGGATTGTGTGTGTATAGACATGACTATGTGTGTGAAGGTCAGAACACGACTGTATGGAGCTGTTTCTCTTCTCTCCCCTTCCTGTGATTCCAGGGTTTGAACTCAGATCATCAGGCTTCCGTTGGGACACCTTTACCCACTGAGCTATCTCAGGAGACTCATGTCAGTATTGTATGTTCATCTTCCTTCCTTTCTTATCAATTTTTAAACTTTTTAAATCACATTGCAGCGTGTGTGTGTGTGTGTGTGTGTGTGTGTGTGTGTGTGTGTGTGTGCATGTATGTGTACACACAGTTCTGGCTTTAAAGCCAACGATGCACTAAAGGGGTTGTGCAATCTCCCTCCTTGGCTAAGGAAAAGCTGCTGAGGACAGGAGGGTCAGGGGTGTCCCTGCATGGAGGCCCAGAGAGACCACTGTGTGAAGCGGTACAGGTAAGGCCTGGCTTGTGTTGGAGACCCCAGAGTGGTGGGCACCTGCTGAGGGGGATGTTAACAGGGTGTGGAACCAGACCAGGAGAGAAGTGTGCTGCAGTTAACAAAGCAAGGAACTGGAGTTCTGAAGAGCACTTTGACACCAGACGTGGAGATGCAGAATTTGGAGCCTGCCCTACTGGGTTTTGGTCTTTGGTCCAGAGTTTTTTCACTATGTTCCCTTTCCTCCCTTTTGGAATGGTAGTGTACATTCTGTGCCATTGTGTGTGGAAAGCACGAGATCTGCTTTTTAATTCTGATTTTACATGGGGTTAACATTAACAGTTAAGAGACTGCATGAGTCTCAGAAAAGACTTTGAACTTTGGAGTCGCCCCCCCCCCACCCCCTGGGTTTCTACGTGTGGTTTTGGTGCCTGTCCTGGATCTCGCTCTGTAGACCAGGGCTTTGAATTCACAGAGATCCACCTGGCTCTGCCTCCCAAGTGCTGGGATTAAAGGCGTGCGCCACCACCGCCCAGCTGAACTTTGGACTTTTAAACAGTGTTGAGACTGTGAAAGATTATGAAGACTTTTGAAGTTGAACTGAATACATTTTTTCATTGTGATATGGCTACAAGTCTTGGGGCTGGGGAGTAGAATGTGGTGGTGTGAAAAAGAATGGGCCGCCATAGGCTCTTATATTTGAATGTTTAGTCACCAGGGAGTGGAACTATTTGAAAAGAACGTAAGAATTAGGAGGTGTGGCCTTGTTGGAGAACGTGTGTCACTAAGGATAGGCTTGAGGTTTCAAGTCCATGCCAGGCCCAGTAGTTCTCTTTTTTCCTGTGGCCTGCAGATCAGGATGTAGCTCACAAACTACTTCTCCAGCATCTGCCTGCTATGCCTGCTGCCATGTTTCCCACCATGATGACAATAGACTAACCCTTGTAAGCCAGCCTCCACTGAAATGCTTCCTTTTTTTTTTTTTTTTTTTTTTTAAGATTTATTTATTTATTAATGTATAGTGTTCTGCCTGCCTGTAAGTCTGCAGGCCAGAAGAGGGCACCAGATCTCATTACAGATGGTTATGAGCCACCATGTGGTTGCTGGGAATTGAACTCAGGACCTCTGGAAGAGCAGTCAGTGCTCTTAACCTCTGAGCCATCTCTCCAGCCTGAAATGCTTCCTTTTATATGAGTTGCCTTGGTCATAGTGTCTCTTTATAGCAATAAAACTGCTAATAGCCTATTTTTCCTTCCCTATCAAGTATATTGTCTACACCAATAGATTAACTCTTGAAAAGGTTAACAGCATTATTAAATAAGATGCAAACCTCTTAGCCAGGCCCTTAATGCCCTTCCAGCCTGTCTGCCCAACCTGTCACTCACTATTTTCCTTACACATACTACAACTCAGCGTTCAAATTAGGGCTGCCATGATGGTTCAGTGAGTGAAAGTACTTATTCCCAAGCTGGATGGCCTGAGTTCAATCCTCAGGACCCACACCATGGAAGGAGAGACCAGACTCCTGCAAGTTGTCCTCTGACTTCCACATGTGTGCATGTGCACACACACAGAGAGGGAGGGATGGAGGGGGAAGGTGAGACTATGAATCAGTGCAACCAGGTGAGGGGGCGGTAGCACATGCCTGTAATCCCAGTATTTGGGAGGCTGGGGGAAGAAGATTGTCCTGGTTAGAGACCCTACAAAGAGGCTGGGGTTAGAGACATCCAGTTAAGAGTAGCTTCTGAAATCTTTAGTAGATTCTGGTCCACTTACCTTTCGCCTTCTTGGCCCGTCTTTGGCAGAGCTCTTCTTCCTGCTCCTTGTAAGTGCTGTGAGAACCTTGTCCAATCCTCTCTCGAGGCTTCCAAACACATTGGCTCCTCTCCTCTTAGGGGTGTCCTCCATATGTGCCTGGTTGAGATCCACCTCCATTGAGCGGCACCTTCAAGACCAACAGAGTACTAGCGGTACTGTCCTGCGGCCCTCACGGCTGCTGTGCCTGCCCCTCTACAGGCACCAAGGGCTGCAGGTAGGTGTGCCAGAGCCAGATCACCTCAATCCTCCTTTGGGGAGGGGCACTAAAGCCATCTCCTATTAGAAAGATGTTCACTGCCTCACCAAACTACTTGTCCTTTCATTTTATTTATTTAGGAGATAACAGGGATTAAACCGAGCTCCTCATTTATACTAGGAAGGCATTCTACCAATGAGCTACACCCCTACCCTTCTTTTTACCTTTTATTTTTGTGACAGGATCTTCACTAAGTTCCCTGGGCTGGCCTTGAACTTGCAAACCTTCTATCTCAGTTCTCCCAAGTAGCTGGGATTCCAGGCCTATGCCAAGGCTCAGATCTTTCACTTTTTTATTTAAATCAAACATAGGAACATGAACAGATCAGTACAACGGATATCCACATGCCCTCCGAGGGTCAACAACTACTAAGATTTGGTCAGTGGCTTCTCTATGTAAACAGACAATACACAGATTAAGTATACATGCATGCTTGCTCAGAATACGGGACTCTGAAACACTTCTGTGTACACCCCCAGTAAACAAGACTATCTTCTTACCAACCATAATACTAAGGACATTTTAAAAAGATAACAACTGCAGCAGCATTCAATAGTTTATATTTTATTTCCCCCAAATAAATCATGCTTCTAAAAAAATTGAAATGCAGTGAAGGTTCACTTATGCCTTGGGATTTTTCATCTTAGAGAAATGAGTTGGTTTTCTTTGTAACCTAGATTAGTGTTTTTACCATTTGGGCAATGCGGACTGTTAGTGTACACGGAGACTCTGCTGGCAGAGCGGCAGAAGGAAGTGCACGGCCACAGGCAGGGACCCTGTCTTCCAGCTTGCTGTGCTTTAGTTAAGGCCCCACTGCTGATCAGGTTCATGACTTCGGCCCGAAAAGGCAGAGCACCAGCTCCAGTCCCACACTTGGCCACAAACCGTCCTCACGCACAAGTCACCCCAGTGCCAGCAGCTTCGTCTCCACTCCCTCCACCAGGCTTCTCATGGGTAAAGAGTAACCCCATGACCTACACTAAGAATGGATGGAGTCTGAAAAGCAATACTTACCGCCTCTCAGGGCTGATGACACCTGTCGTTAATGTGTCTGCTCCTGTGGATTTCCCTGGCGTTCTGACTGGGGCTTCTCTCAGGCACTGGTTTCTAGCTATTAGAAAAACAGCAAATACACACCATGTGTATCTGACAATACCAATCAATAATACATATGTCACTTCCTTCATTGACTCCAAAATATTGGTACCACTTGGCCAGTAAAATTGCTGGCTCTAATAATTGGTTTTTTTTTTTTTTTTTTGGTTTGGTTTGGTTTATTTTTGTTTTTCAAGACAGGGTGTTGCTGTGTAGCTTTGGAGCCTGTCCTGGAACTCACTATGTAGACTAGGCTGGCCTCAAACTCACAGGGATCCGCCTGCCTCTGCCTCCCGAGTACTGGATTAAAGGCATGCACCACCACCGCCCCGCTCTGGCTCTAATAATTAAAAAAAAATGTTTCCTGGTACAATGCCTTACTCAATCTTGATGCAGGAGGAAGGGGCTAGGTCTGGCCCCAACATGGTATAACAGCCTGTGTTGACTACCCAAAGGAAGCCTTACTCTCTATGAGGAGGGGATGGGGGTAGCTGGGAGTAGCGGGAGAGGAGGAGGGAGAGGGATCAGGGGTTGGTATGTAAAAGGAAAGAAAATATTTTTTTAAATAATATATATATATGAAAGTGTTTCCAGATGATCTATATTAAAAACAAAATCACCTGGTGCCATGAAGCACACCTGTAACCCCAGTGCTCAGGGGGCAGAGGCAGGCTGATCCAGAGTTCAAGGCCAACCTCTGCTATATAGCAAGTTCAAGGCCAGTCTAAGGTATATAACACCTGTCTCCAAACAAAACCCCCTTTAAAAAAAAATCATTTTGCTTTACATGTAATGATTTAAAACAAAACAAAATATAAACCTCACTACAAACTGAAGCATACTTGAAAAGTGTTAATTCAGAACCCCATTTAATTCCTGTTAGGTAAAGAAACTGATCTCCTTCTAAAGTTTGAGAAAAGTTCCGAGTGAGTTTTCTTAATTGACTGTTTCTTTATTCCAGAACTTTGTGCTTTACCCTACATAGGGTAGGGTCTACCACAGATGGGTATCAACAGATCTGGTTACCACTAACTGAGTAGCCTTTGTTTAATGATCTGCTGGGGGTGTATCGCAGTGGCAGAGCACTTGCCTAGCATGCCCAAAGCCCTGTGTTCAATCCCAGGAAAACACACACGCACAGATTGATGTACTTTAGTGGTACTATTGACAATGCACTTTGGGGACTTTGCTTTGTTTTTAACTAATAAATTCTATTCTCTCGAGGTTCACAAGGACAACAAAATAGTAATTAAAAGTAGCTGTTTTTAAAAAGTTTGTCTCTGTGTCCTAAGAGAATGTGTACATATACAGCTGCCCTTTGACAACCACCACTGCCTGGACTACACAGGTGTCACACACAGGAATTGCCGTCAATGTCAAAAAAGACACACTAGTGGAGGCTACCAATTACATCTTCAGCACCTGCTCTCTGGAAGTGCTTCTCTTTAAAGAAAATAGCCAATATTAAGTTTTTCACTAACACAGTCTCGCAGGGACAAGATGTGTAAACTACATTTCAAACCATCCACATTTCAAACCCTTTAGAGTCCCATTAACAGCATCAACAAAAAAAGTATAGTAATAAAGACTATGCTGTCAAAGGGTTCTTGTGCTGTTTCTGTTTCTTCCTTCCTTCCTTCCTTCCTTCCTTCCTTCCTTCCTTCCTTCCTTCCTTCCTTCCTTATTTATTTATTTATTTATTTATTTATTTATTTATTTATTTATTTATTTATTTATTTTATTTCATTTCAGGGCTGAGGACTGAACCCAGGGCCTTGCACTTGCTAGGCAAGTGCTCTACCACTGAGCTAAATCCCCAACCCCATTTGTTTCTTTGAAGTTCCTCAATGAGGTTAGGGAAATGGCTGGAGCATGAAGACTTGAGTTCAAGGCCAGCCTGGTCTACAGAGGGAGTTCCAGGACTGCCAGGGCTACACAGAGAAACCTCGGGGCGGGGGTGGGGGGTGGATTTCAAGATCATTTTCACCTATATATTCACAGTGAGTCTAAGGTTGCCTGGGCTACATGAGACACAGTCTCAAAAAAGCAAAGATAAACAAATTAAAAGACAGTGCGATTATAGTAAAAGGAATAACAAAAGAGAGAAACCTTTGTTGGGGAAAGATGAAATGGCACCACTTTTGAAATCCTACTATGTTCTTAATAAACCTGCAGTTTACTGAGACAAGTGCAGAAAACCACACACAAACACACCTCATTATATCAAACTGGCCTCACATTTGGAGGAGACTATGAGTTGATGAAATGAAAAATTCCATTAACACAATAATGGAACTCTAGCAAATATTTCAGCAAAATCTTCCACTACGCCTTCGTGTATAATATGATGACCTCTTGAAGTGGTGGTCGACCCTACTAGCAAACTAGAAGCACAATGGGAGAAGGGGCTTGGCAGGAGTTCACATGGCAACCCTTAGAGTTGGGGTTCATTAGGATCTCAATACAGCACAAGAGAAGGACACAACTGCTGGGGAAAAGACGATCAATTAGCTGCTGTGGTTAAAAACGACACAACCGATAGATCCAGCCCTGGTTTATTTCCTCACTCAGCAAATATGACCCTGCTACAAAGCATGAAAAGTCTGCAGTAAATACGACAGAGCTCTGCTGCATATATCGACCGCTTGTCTCCGGGAGGCCTGATCCTAGCAAAGTGGCCTTACACTGACACAGCAGAATGTGTCCAGATGAGACAGCAGCCAAACACCACGTGTCCTGGGGGGACAGCTTAAATAACTGCTGGAGATTACAGTGAAGAGGAAACCAGGGGGAAGGGGAGGAGTCACAGACCCACTGCCTTCTGGACTCCAGCAGTACTGCTGCAGGGCAGGGCAGGACCAGGTTACCACAACAGAGAACCAGATGGTAAGAAGAGCTCAGCAGACTCCAGCCTCAGTCATCCTCAGTGGGGATGAAGAGGCTAAGGCTGGACATAGGACCTTGGCATAGCATTCGCTCCTGAGTCTCAGGTTCCTACACTGTGGAGACATGACAAGCTCTAAGTTGCTCTCCTATGGTGCGATGCTTCAATCCCACAGATGGGAGAGAGGGGCTGGAGATGGCTGAGCAGCTCAGTGTGCTTGCTGTGCTTCCAGAGAGGACCAGAGTTTGATTTCCAGCACCTACATCAGGTGACTGGCAAATACCTGTAATCCCAGCTCCAGGGGGCCCACCATCCTCTTTAAGCCTCCTTGGATACCCCCTATACACACACACACACACACACACACACACACACGCACACGCACACGCACACGCACACGCACACGCACACGCACACGCACACACAGCATATACACACAGAGACATAAAGGTAAATTAAATATTTTTTAAAATCTTTAAGTGTGGAAAATAAAGTAACACCACCATCTGAGAATTACAAGGTAAGCACTGTCTCCACTTCCACCAAAGCCCGTACATATATAAAGGCAGCCAACCCGCCCTAGCAGCCAGAGAACAAGGCTAGTTACTTCCAGAAGTCCATGTGTTCGTTCACAACAGTAAAAATGGCATTTGACCTTTACGTCTCCGCTTAGTTCCCTTAGCAAATACCTTTTGCAGGCGTCGTGTAACGGTTTGGCGAGGTGAGTATTTCTCTCTTATACTGGTTCTTACTAACTGGAGTCTTTGGCTCTGGGAACACAAAGTTCTCTTCATTCTTCACAGCAGACTTGGGAGTGCCCACATTCTCTTTGTCCTTTAATTTATTTGCCAATGCTCTGCATACTACTGGAGCTGGTGATTTAGACGCCACATGATTTGATTCTGCCCAGTGCTTGGTAACCTGGAGGAAGAAAGGTACTGAATAAAGCACACTGAAGAAGATAAGTCATTTCTTTACACCCCACCTTAACACTCAGCAAGTCACCTTGTACTGTTCTGGTGAAAATCAAATGCTACCCAGAGGCCACTGCTGGTGATAGCAGGACCCTTGGCAGTGTCCTTCAGTTCCCCTAGCACAGGCAGATCAACATTTCAAAATTCTCAAATAGCAAGAGAAGTTTAAGGAAATGATGACCTAGGATGGAGTTTAACTCCTGGCAAATCTCAAATCTGAGCCAAGGCATCTCAAGCAACCCTCAGGGCCCACTGTGGAGCATGTGTGGTATCTTGGTGCACAGTGCACATTCTGAGTGCTCAGGATGGAGGCTACAGTGAAATCACGTGATGCAATACAGGCGAACATAACCAGGAACACCTCAGGCTCATCACATGCTGATGTTAAATTAATCTTTGATCCTTTTATACTCATAAACATTTTGCTGTTGCCAATTTTTCTCAACTTCAACATTCACATCAACACAACCTAATGAGGTTGGGACTCATAGTTAAGAAGCTAGGCCTTAAAGAACTAAAGTATAGGGGCAACAGCACAATTAATAGACAATCAATGGAGACAAAATTATTTACAAGAACTATCCAGAAATTCTAGGATTGAAAAGTACAGTAATTTTAAAAATTAGTTGGACATAGTGGTGTGTCCTTATAATTCAAAACGCAGGAGGCAGAGGCATGAAGGAACTGCCACTGTCTGGGAGCTAGCTGCACTGTGAGCTCTAGGGGAGCCAGCACTAGATAGTGAGGTCCAGTCAAGAAAGAGACAGACAGACAGACACAGAGAGAAAGACGGAGGTGGGGGGTGGGTGACAGGACAGGCACAGACAGACAGGAGGGGAGAGATGACTCAGCATTAGAATAATTCGCAGCATTTCAGGAGGCATTAGAAAGGGAAGCAGCAAACTGGAAACGAGTGGATCAAATTACTCTGAGGAACAGAAAGAAAAAGGAATAAAAACAGATTAATAATGGAGGAAAAAATAGTATTTGGAAAAAACGATCCTAAAGTCCCATATTTGGTGGGAAATTTTGAACTACACACCTAAGAAGTCCAAAAAACTTAAAGTAGTATTAAAACAAAAATCCTCAGAAGAGGAGAAACACATATCTGTTGCTGCCCTGAGTTAAGAGGAGAGAGTTCAAAGGGGCCTGAGGGACCTGGAGAGGGGCGATGGAATTACTGTGTCATTTCTGGTGCCTCTATGTTGTCAAACATATAGAGCTAGACACTAAAAAGGGTGAATTTCAACTATTTAACTACATGCAAATTATACTTCATTTAATGAGGGGAGGAGCAATGAAGAGCTCCAAAATAGAACTTGGTTTTCTTAACTTCTCTTTCATTAATATTCCGATAATCTCATTAATGTCTTCAGTGGCATAGAGATTCAACAAATTTACAAGCACAGACTTGATTTCCTCTTAGACTAGATGTGTTTATAATTAAGACATGCATTCTGTGTTAAGTAGTAATAAAACTACCTACCTGTGGTGTCTGGGGAGCTGATAAATTATCCTCACACAGTTCATAGTCTATTAATCCATCCACGCAGCTATCGTCACTTGTGGTCATATCTTCCAGGCTCAGATTCTTTGACTATTAATTTAAAAGGTAAAAGAAGTTAGCAAAACAACACCACGATTCAGATTTTACAACAGCACACAGCAGGCCTGGGGAGACACCCTGGAGCAGGAACAAGAGACCAGCTAGATGTTAGATGGAATATCATTTACTTACCTTATCAGTACTCCACGTGACAGGAGACAACTCACTTGCAAGTTTACAAATAAAGCCCCAACCAAGCACAAGCTGGGAAGGACGTAACTCCTGACAGACCGTGTAACAGGAGGTAGCACGGTGGCTCAGCAGGTAAAGCACCTGCCCTGCAGTCCTGGCCATCTGAGTTTGAGCCCTAGAACTCTCCACACAGCTGTCCTCTGACCTCTAAACTCATGCCAGGACATGTATACCCACCCCTACATATATATTATACAATCTCAATCAAAATCTTATTTTTTATTTTTATTTTATGTGTATGCATCTTTTGTCTGCATGTATGTTCATTCACCACATACATGCATCATACCTACAGAGGCCAAGAGGGTGTCAGATCCCCTTAAACCTCAGTTACAGACAGTTGTGAGGCACCATGAGGTGCTGGGACTCAAACCTGGTTCCTCTGGAAGAGCAGCCAGTGCTTTTAACCACTGAACCATCTCTCCAGCCCCACAAATAAGTAAATTTTAAAAGCACACAGTATAGCTCATTTTTTCTGCCAGGAGTAAATTAGCTTTACAAAAGATCGTTCACAAACAGGACACTTGGGGCCTATGCCAACATTACCACCAGATTCCTTATTTTCCTTCATCCTTGCCCTATACAAACTAAGTGTATGCTAGACATAGCCTAAAGGTTGAGACTATGGAGCACTACTCACCATCTTGTTAACCTGACCAGGCACGTTTACTTGAATTTCTAATACCTACATCCCTATGCCCAAACTTACAGCTAGTGCAGTTCAAGTTCAAATCTTCTCATATCTACGTTACTCAAACAGGCAACCTTGCCCTCTCTGCCTACTGTGAGAGTTCTCCAGGGTTGCCAATTACTATCAATGAGAACTAACTGCATAGAGTGCCAGCCTGAGCAAAATACTGATGTTAAGTTAGGCCTAGTGGGGTAAAGTTCCGTGTTGTATATAGATGGCTGTGATGACGCTACCTACAGTAGGCAATAACCATACACACAGCATCTTTGACTGAACAATTCTATATACATTTTTTTCTAATTTTACATTTATGTATTTCTGTGTGTGTGTGTGTGTGTGTGTGTGTGTGTGTGTGTGTGTGTGTATGCTCAAACATGCAGGTCAGAGGACAGCTTATGGGAACCAGTTCTCTCCTGCTGTGTGGGACCTGGCTATCAAACTCAGGTGTCAAGTTTGCCAAATGCCTTTACCCACTGAGACATCTCCAGCCTACCACTGGATACATTTTTCAAAATCACTGTTTTGCTTCTCTCTTGTTCTGAAGGCAATGGTTCCCCATGACCTACTACACAGTCAACCACTGTGACCCAGCATTTCAAAGTTCTCCAGAGTTTAGCTCTTCCCTATCAAAGAAGTCTGCCCACTGTTATCAGGATAAACGGAGCACAATTTGGTACCTGAGCTCTGCTAATTACATCTATTTTGCCCCAATCACTATCTTTTCCATGTTTCTAAACTCAAACGCAACTGCTGGTACAGTCTGGATCTCCCAATGGTGGCCACTCCTGTTTTCTGGAGTCCCCACAGCAGCACCTTAACCTAGAACCCACTGGCTGAGGTGTCGAGTCCCTGTGGCTCTGTGCATGTATACTTTGTCTCAGCAGGACTACTCCAAGAGCAAGTACCACACTCAATAGATCTGTTCCCCAGACCCATGGCTCCTGAACACTGTTGGTGACTGTGTGGGCTCTGGTGAGTCCTCAGTCAGACTTCATTATTTTCTCACTGGGAGCACCATCAATTGATTGCTAAGTCAGAATTACTTATTTTCTTAAAAACAAAACCCCAGAAAAAGAGGCCGTCCTATCAGGGGAAAATGGGCTCAAAGAAACTATATGGCCTATTCAAGGTTCACTGATTTGCATAAACACCAGAAAAGAATCCAAAATTTGATTCTACTTATTTTCTGGTCATTAAAAAATGTCATCGCTGGGCGGTGGTGGCGCACGCCTTTAATCCCAGCACTAGGGAGGCAGAGGCAGGCGGATCTCTGTGAGTCTGAGGCCAGCTTGGTCTATAGAGCGAGATCCAGGAAAGGCGCAAAGCTATACAGAGAAACCCTGTCTCAAAAAACCAAAAAAAAAAAAAAAAGTCACCTGCTATAAAAATTGGTTCACTAGTATGACTATCCAAATAATTCAAATAATGAAATGATTAGGTAAATATTCACTATGCAGTAGAATAAATATCTTCTCAGATCTTCCCACCTGGATACTTTATAGATCAAGGAAGCCATCCACTGAGACCATACCAACTCAGATACAAGAAAAGCCAATGGCTCAGGAGAATGTCCCAGGTATCTTAACTGAGGTGAGTAAATTGAATTATTTAGCTAAAGTAACTACTCTAACTTTAGAGGTAAATAATACCTTTCTGCAATTACCCTGATCAAAAACAAAGCCCATATTGTAATGCCTTCTTGGACTCAAATGAACCCGGTGGTTAAAAGGGTTTGACGAAATTAACAAGAAAAGTAACAGGTTGATTCACTAAGCATACAGACAAAAGACATGTTAACTAGCCTAACAAAACCCTCCAAACCTAGACAGAATACCAGCCTGGGAATGAGAATACCTCACTTCACAGGCTTCACATGGTGGTCAACTGCACCGATACTCTAGTACTGAGTCTGGTCAAAAGATCAAGAAGGGAGAAAAGATGGGAGATATTCATAAGGTCTAGCAAGACCCTAACATCCATTTAGACCTACAGCTCATGACAGACAGGAGTTAAAGGAAGCTGGAGACGGATGATTCAGCTAGAGATCAAGAAAGCAGTGGTCTTAACTTATTTAAAAACAGTTTGAGATCTAAAAGAAAAAAGAATAGCCTAATTCAGGTCCATTGGGTTATATTAAATCTATAAAGAGGATCAACTATGGCTCTCTGAGGATAACAAAGCAACATTTTCTTTCTGATTTTTTTCATTCGATGATCAAACCTAGGACCTCAGGCACGCATACTAAATGAGCACTCTACCACTGAGCAACAGCTGCAACCCTAAGGGATGTCTTCCTAATATTGGAGTCATTAAACTGCAATCTGAATTAAGGTGAGGGAAGATTATATTACAAAATCCTACACCCATCTAACAAAGTATTCAGACACTTGTGTTTGCTTGTTTTACAGGGTCTCACTTTACAGCCACAAGATGGGCTGAATTAAAATATGTAACCCTTGCTGGCTACGGACAGTAATTCTTCTGCTTCAGTCTACCAAGAAGAGACAGTTAAATTTTAAGCAATGGGGGCAGGAGTGGGAACAAATGCAGAGATAGTGGGTAAAGCTTAGTGGGTAAAGGTGCTTACCATCAAGCCTGAAGACCTAAATTCAATCCCCAGAGAGTCAGTTGGCATACACTCTCACACACATACACACACACACACACACACACACACACACACACACACACACACACACAAATATAAAATAAGCTTCAACTATGGAACACAGAATCAAATGAAAATAAATGTGAGCATCTAGGAGGAATGAGATGTTGTTTGCATCTCTATAAATGTTCACAACAGGAGAAACAGAAAAAGAATCACAACTCTCATGGAATGAATTTACATGGCACAAGCTATAGTAACTGCAGAAACCTAAATCAAAACAGTAACATAAACATGAAAGTATTTATATTAAAATACATCATATGAGATGTATCATATATTCACAGGCCTGACCCCCTTTATAGACCCTGTATGTACAAGGGCAAGCAGAGACAGGAAAGACACATTACACATGAACTAAATCTAGAGCTTGAGAGGTGGCTCAGTGGATAACACACTAGCTGCTGTTGTAGAGGACCTGGGTTCAATTCCCAGCACCCACATGGTGGCTCATAACTGTCTGCATCTCCAGTTCTAGTGGATCTGACACCCTCTCTGGCTTCCTCCAGCACTATGTGCGTGTGCACATATGTGCACACACACCACTCATACACATAAAAAATAGTAAATCTTCTTTTACAAGATTAACTATATCATCTAAAGCTAGTAGGTTTATAAGTAAATCCTGTATTTCCTTTTAATCTGTCTATTTCTATAATAATCAGGATGTGCTTTTATGGAGAAAAAAGAAGGGCAGAGGAAGTGCTTTTTGTTTGCAAATTTTTTGTTGTTGTTCTTCAAGACAGGATTTTTTCTGTGTAGCTCTGGCTGTCCTGGAACTCACTCTGTAGTCCAGGCTGGCCTTGAACTCTCAGAGATCCACCTGCCTCTGCCTCCCAAATGCTGGGATTAAAGGCATGCGCCACTGCCAGGCTAGAGGAAGTGTTTTCAAAATGCTATACTAGGGCTGGAGAGATGGCTCAGAGGTTAAGAGCACTGCTTGTTCTTTCAAAGGTCCTGAGTTCAATTCCCAGCAACCACATGGTGGCTTACAACCA